CATAATCTCGCTTCAAAAATCGTTGTAACTGTTCCAATTCATCAAGAAATTCTTTCTAAAAAAAAATAAAATGATATATTTAAACAAATTATCTTTAAAACAAGAATTTTATTAGCTAAGTACCTTTTTTACGCTGTCTATAAACTTATTTTCAATAATCTTTCTAATATCAACAAATATTTTATATCCATACCGACTACAAGTTGAACAAAGTCTGCCTAGATCTTCTCGATATATATATTCATTTCCTTGTAATTTTGTCATAAAAATTGTATGATGAATTCCGTTAGGAAATTCGGCATGAAATTTTTCCCAGAGGGCTTGTTTGGTATCACGAAGGTATTTTATTAGTGTATCAGTTTTACTATCTGTTTTATATAAGCTCATAACTACATGTGCTTTGTCATTGATAAATTTTTCAAATTCTTGCAATTTTTCACTAGGTAGCTTTTCACGCGTAAAAGAAGGTTTTTTCATTGAAGAACCACCAGGCCCATTAAGATGACAGTGTATACGTGCCTTTGATATCAAATCATTTGAAACCTAGTAATATAGAATAATTTAGAAAAACAATTATAAGGTTAGAAATCAACTACTTTATTAATTCATACCGATAATTGCTTTTGAAGTTCTTCATATTTGAAATCATTTGCTATAATAGACAGTATCCTTTGTTTTCCATCATCTCCTTTTTTATTAGTTATTAGGCTTTCTTGAAAGCAATTCCAAAATATGTTGGATACATCATAAAAGTTTACTGGTTGTGACATCAAAAAGCCAAATTCGTATAGCTGTTTCAATACATTTTTTTCAATATTATGATTCAATGATCTCGTCCAAAATTCATACTATAATAATTATATACAATAATTAGAATTTTTTTTTTTTTTTTTTTTTTTACAGATGAACTATTATTTATATTTACCTTTGAATCCTGTTTTAAAAAAGGTGTTACATCATGACATCCTATATTGCGAAACATTATTCTCCATGCATTTAGTTCACGTTCGCTAAATTTATGATCTAAAGGATATAATTGTTTTAGATTACTATGTAATTCAATTATCGTTCCCTGCTCCTTCCACTTGTTTAGAAACTTGCGCCAATTAACATTACTAATAGTTCGTCACTTGAGATGATAAGAATAAACTTCTTTCATAAGCACATCATTATTCCAATCACTCAATGAATAAGAACGAAGTTTTAGAGTCTGAATCAATCATTGTGTTATAGTGTTTTCAATTCCAAATAGCATTCTTCCAGTAAATGTTTTTAATTTGGCAACTTTTGTTTCTTGTTCGCTAAAAATTCTTTCCTATACAAGATTAGGTGTGCTTACACAATATATTTTTTCAACTTCCATTTTATATATTATTGTTACTTTACATACATCTTCTTCAAATTCTTGAAGAAATAAACAACGCTTCTTTGCCAAATAAAACAAAAAACTTGATTTAAATCCAACTCCAGCATATCCCCATTGATCATTTTCGGATCTCACAATCCCAAATACAAAAACGCGTACCAGCTCAAGATTAACAAAATATGGACGAAATAAAACTCCTTCTAATAATTTTTTACAAATGTCTGGCTTGTCAAAGCCCATTATCATAGGACCTGAAAATCTGGTTTTAGTATGAAACATTTGTTGATAAACTGTAGATATCGTGTTAGAACTAGAAATACTCGGCTCAGTAGTATAAAAAGATTCACAAGTGCAAATGTATCCTGGCTGTTCAAAATGTTCCCTATTATCTTTCACCACTGTTAAAATAAAGTCATGTTCACTTAAATGGGTTACTACTTTCATATGCAGACGAATAGGAACCAGAAATTCCATTTCTTGATTGCAAACTATCTACCATTCATACGAAAAAAGTCTGAAGTGTAATTCTGAATCAATAGTTCCCACAGAAACTAAGAAAACATCATAATTTTTATCTTTTGTCATATTTGTAGAGTAATAACAAGTAACGCAAAAGAGTTTACATGGTTGTATTAGGTAACGCGAGAGAGATTCTAACGTTTTTCTGTTTATTATATAAAACGATATATGTTCTTATTCCCGATCGACACTAATTAAATTAGATGATTTTCTCTAATTATTACACAAATCATGAATTAAAATATATAAAATAATATATTAAAAATTTATAAAAGATCTAAAAATAAATTTTATTTATTAATTTTCATTTATAATAAAACTATTATTAATAATTACATATATAATGCTGATTTGTTAAGGTATAGTTGATATCATAGGCAAACTTTCCTATAATTGGCTATTGCAGATCAATTTAAATTGGGTATTATTTATACAGTTTAAAGTACTTTTTCAGAAAATGATGTTACATTTAGTAAAAAAAAAATTTTTACTTATCGTTTGATTCTTTGGAATGTTAAATAACTGTTTGCAAAAAGAATCCAAAATAATCTCAGTTTTAAAAGAGTTTGCTTAGAGGTGACATACTATAACAACGAAGCTTAAAGGTCTTTATATTGTTATAAAACTTGTTTTAAAACTTCTAATAATCCAAAAAAAAGTTTTAAAACTTGTATTTAAAAAAGTTAAAAAAAACTTTGAAATACTCTTGTATAATATGAAAAAGAATAAAACCATTAAATAATTAATGATTTATTATATTTTAATTTGCTTTCATTGCTTTCACGAAAGATATAAAATATTATATATATTATCGTTATATGTCAAATTTGTATATGGTCGAGATCATGTGATCATATTTATTATTTTATTATTGGTCAACCTTTTTGTCGATCGTACTTATTATAGAAATGCTGATCAATATTTTAAACCAATTAGAAGAAAGTTTTCCTATGATAGTTGATATAAGTCCAATTGAATAATTAAATAATTAGACATAGTATAATTCCATTAAACATTTAATTAGACAATTGACAATTGAATATAATTGAATTATATCTAATTGTTTAATTATCCATTAGAATAAATCCAATTTTAATATTGCTGATAGTTTAGTATAAATTTAATTGTTATATAAGTTTTATATAATTGAATAAAATTTTTTATTATATATATTTTATGTGAGCATCAATCTTTTTTATGAATATTATTAATTACTTTTTAAATTAAAATAAATTAATAAATATTTACTTATTATTAAATATGCAAATTCTATTTACTTATTTTAAAATACATAAAGTTTGATTATTTCATTATTGAATATACAAATTTTGATCACTTTATAATAAAGTAATTATATTATGTTAGTTAAAAATTAATATTTAGGTTATAACTTTGTGAAGAAGTATAAGGTAAAAGTTTAATTATAATATTATTATAATACAAAATAAAGGATTTCAATTATCAGTACTAGATAAATGCTTTTAATTTTTATTATAATAATAAGAAGTAATTATTGGAAAATTAGAGTAACAAGTTAGTTTAAAAGATACTATTAAATCTTTATATTTTCTGATATATTAACTTGATTTAAATTTTAAATATTTTATATTGCAGAAGTTTGAGCCTGAGTTTGAATTATAGAAATTTGGATTTCTTGAACAGTAAATATAAGCAAATCATTATTTAAATCTATAAAATATTTTTTTTTTTGAGTAAATAAATTTATTAAATAAAAGAAACTAATAAAATAAAATTTTATCATACTGATTTCATTAAAATATAAATCTAAATTTCTTGAATAATCATCAAATTCATATTCTTCAGAATCTAATTCTTATAATATAAAAATTAATAATTATGTATTTAAAATGTGCTGATTTTCACTAGTTTTACAATAATCTGCAAAACTTTTATGAAATTGATATTCAGAAAATGATTGAAGATCAGAATCAGAAAGTTCATTATTCTTAAAAAGTATTTCTAAAATATATTAAATTTTTGTGGATTCAGCAAATCCTATTAAATTTAAATTTTCATATTTATTATCATGTTATTATCATTCTCATTTGTTTTACTTTCTTCATTATCCTCTTCAATATCATCTTCACATTCTTCATCTAGGATTTCATTTAAAGTTTCATTTAATTTAAATAGTCTTATAATTTCTAAGTTTGTTCTTCAGGTATATCTGATTCATTATTTTTAATATTTTCATCAGAATAATATAAACATAATATAGTATCAAAAGTAAAATCAGAAATTTTTTGACTTTATTGCTTAATTTTAAGAAAATTCATAAATAAAGCTGCATTTGAATATGCTATTTTAATTGTATTACTAATATCATTATTACTTGGTTATTGTCTTAATAATTCAATTTTATTTGCAAACAAACAGATCCATTAATATTATAAATATATTCTAATAAATAAAATGATAAATTTTTATTAAATCTAAAATAATATAATAAATAAAACCTGATTTTATATATCTTATATGGATGTTTTCTCTTGATTATTGGTCAAATTTTTAAGCTGTAAAAGTTTATCTCTATATATTACTTTATTTAATATTTTATAAAATTCATAATAAATGAAATCTGATACAATTTGTTTTGTCAATTTAAATACATGTTTAATAGTTTTTCATATTCTCATAGAAAAAATGGAAAATTTGAATAAAAATCTTAGTATACAATTATTAATAAAAGTATTGATTCAGTCAAACTGATAAAATTTTCAACTTTGTATAAAAATACAATATTTTGAAAAAGAATACCATTTTTTGAAATAAAGATTGCTATATTTACCTAAGTATTCTTTTTACATTATTAAAAAAAAATAAGCTCTCATTACTATAATAATATATATTTTATGAGAAATAGAATGATTTAAGTATGCATCAAATAATTTACCTAATAAATTAAGAAAATATTAATATAATTATAATAAATAAAAATAATTTTAATATTAAAAACTTACTAATAATAAATAAATAAATAAACCTATTTTATCAAAATAAATAATTCTATTCTCTTGACATTAAATTAAAACTGCTAAACTAAAAAACCTATATGTTATACCATCATCTTATTTATTTACATTAATAATATCCCTTATAAATAAAGCAGAATTTTCATCTTTTGTAATAGCTAATATTTGATTATATCAAACAGTATCTTTACTAAGTACTAATAATCATATTCTACTATATACATTATTTCTACTATTCTTTTTTGCATATTTTAGATTTTAAATCTAAATTATTGATTGATTACTGTAAGTTGATGCTGAAAAATTAACATAGTTAAGTTCATTTTTATACTGTAAAAATTAGTTGCTTGATTTTCTTTTATTAATTCTATTTGTACATTAAACTTGCTAGCTGCTCTGTCAGATGTAATACTAATTAATTTCAAATTAACATGTATTATTATATTATTTAATTTGTATAACAGATTGTATATTTTATTTGTATTATCATTTCCTTTAATAGGTAATAAAATAATTATAATAAGAGAAATTCATGTAATTGAAATCTAAAAGGATTAATTAGTAAATAAAAATAAATAATAAAAAATCTATTTATATAATATAATTTCTTATCTTTAATAAAATGCAATAAATTTGTGAGGCAATTTCATTTTTTTCCTGAATATTTTTAATTATCTTATGTATATTGTTATATATTTAAACATGTAATTTCTCAAAAGGCATTATAGATCTAACAATACAACCTAATTTTTGAGAATATATTAATTTAGACTGAACTTTTATACAATCAGTCATTACTATTACTGGACTATTTTAATTTAAAGCATTTATAGTTTTAACAAATTGAACAAGATTTTCATAAATCAAATTTGGATTGGTTAATTTATCTTTATTTCTAGTTCATAAATATCTAATAAAATAAAAATATAAATTTAATAAATTTTTACAATTTTTTATATTATAATAATAAAATAATATCTAATTTATCATAAATTTATTCTAGCAAATAAATTTCAAAAATTGTTATTCTTTACTACTATCTGATAATAAACTAAAAAAATGATATAAATATTCTGAATATCTTAAACCTCTTTTACTTTTTCCTTTTTCTTCAATATTCTTTATTTGTAATATTAATTAAACCAAATCACAAAAAGCTTTATCATTATTAAACTTCTCATTTCTTTTATATTTTACTAATTGAATTTACATATCTGATTTTTTATTTTTTACAGATCTAAATAAATTTTGAAAGTTCAGATTTTGTAATAATTTAACCAAAACATTATTATTAAACTAATATTTAGAATATATTTAGTAATTTTAAAGTTGCTTATTTCTATAAAATGGAAATTTTATCAATATTAATTATTATGTATATATATATATAATATAAAAAAATAATAAAATTTAAATATTATATATCACATCTAATGCTTTAGTAATTTTTTATTTATATTTAATTTATTACAATTATTGTAAATT